ATTTGGTAATTAAAATAAAATAATTGAATAGTTCAAGGACTTATTTGGAAATATTTTATGAATGATTGTTAGTAATTATTAAATAAAGTGAAGGGTAAAATGGTCATTTGACCAATAAATGAATTAAAATGAGATAAGGATGAGATATATACACGTGAAGATTGGGGGAGAGAAAACAAAGTTTCCAGAGTCCTCTTCATTCTTCTCCTTACTCTCCACCGTGAACCAAGGTAAGTTTTCTGGTTAGTTGATTTTAAGAGTGGATTTTGATCCTTAGGTGATACTTAAGCTTAAGGAAAGCTTAAGTTATCTTAAAATCAAAAGAGAAATAAGTTATAAAAGATTAAAGATAAGAGGTTTATTTTGAGATGGAATTTGACTTGTCATAAACTTAATTAAGAGATATGAAGTGATAGAATTGAATTTAGAACATATTAAGAAATTGGTATGATTATTGATTTCCATATGGAGAAAGGAATTTTGAAGTAATGGATGTATTGAATAAGTAGAAATTGGTTTAAGTATGTGTAATTGATTTAATAATATGAAAGGGAATGAAACATTAAGTATTGAAGTTGAAAATAGTGAATTTTCGTGCTTAAACAAAGATTTCTGGGCAAGTGTATCGTTACACATTCAACAGGTACTGATACACTCTCGAACGAAAAATCATCGAATGCAATAAGTGTATTGATACACAGACAGTGTATCGATACCCCCTTAAGATGAAAAATTTCGAATGTAATTTGTGTATCGATACATAGGTAGTATATCGATACACACGTTAAGGGATGTACCGATACACTATACAGTGTACCGATACCTACCCTAAATAAGAAATGAAATTAGCCTTTCTTTTAGTTTAAGAAATGAAAGATTAGAATATATCAATTAGAATATTGATATGAATCCATGTATTTTTGTGTAGATATAGAACGCAATCCCGTTCTGGAAATCAAAGAATTAAGATTCAATCAAAGCAAGCAAGGCCAAGGTGAGTGCATAATATAGGTATAATTTAATGGAAATAAGACTTGCGATAAGTCTATTTCCTAGGTTAATTTCATAGTATAATAGTTATGAACATGCATACATTATAGTCTTTATTAAATATGCATAAGTCATATATGTTTACATATGATTCACTACATGTTATATGACTCATATAAATATATTCAAATACTTATGTTATAGAATATGAGATGGATGGTTATATGCACATGTGAAATGTGATAGGAGAAAGGATATATGAGATTTCAAGGGAAATGACATAAGCACATGTTTATATGAAGTAAAATATTAATGCCCATGTTATGTTATATGAGAGCTCTAGATATAGTTGGCATACCAAGAGTCAAGGGTTTCATAGGTCCTTCGGGACATATTCATAGGTCATTCGGGACAAATCTCATATGCCACTCAGTGGGACTTATACGAGCTATGGTGACAACAAATGTGCACAACCTCTATGTACTCGAATACCTTAAGTTCTCAGTATATACATGGGCCTATCAATAATATGAAAAGTTTGTATTGCTTTATATGTTATAGTATTCTTTATACTGAATCATACGAAATGAGATGGAATTCTTAATATTATGTTGCATGTTCACATTCATAAGAAATGCATTATTATAAGTTTATGTCTCACTAAGTTTATGACTTAGCGTGTAAGTGATTTACACGTAGGTACAGAAAAACAAGAAGACCAATCTTAGGAGCAGCATATCACAACTTGAAGATCATATCAGAAGCCCTTACACAGTATGTTTGTTATGTAATATAGGTGTTGGCATGTAAAAAGAGTCGTACAGTACGTAAGCTCTAATAAAGTTTGTAATGTTTTGAACTTAACGATGTAAGTATAGTTTTTGTGTTAATAAAAGTTTAAATTTACTACGGTTTTTATAAATGTACGTTCTTTAAAAAGTTAATGTGACACCTCATATTCATATCTAGGTCGGGTACGGGTTTGGGGTGTTACAATATTGTTGTGGAGGTCCAAAAGCTTTTTGTGGAGGAATTGTTGGTTGCGGAGTATTTGAAGTTGAAGGAGGAGATTGTTGATGGAAGGTAGGTAGTTTACGATCTTCTAGTTTTGAGTTAATATCGAGTTTATGTTGAATGATGCTCGATGATGTGATTCAGCTCCAATGGCGGAGAGTTCACGTTGGAATTGGACTTTGGTTCATTCAACAATTTTGTTCATCGTCCATCTTTTTCAAAGTCCATTGGCAATGGCATGGAATTCCTCAATATCCACCTTTCTGCTAAACTATTCCAAGACAAGGAAAACTTAAACTTATTGCTTGAATTTCTACAAATTCATTGCCTAAAGGGAAAGGTAACGAACTATATCGATCTGTTGTTCGATTTTCATTGTAAATTTTAGTACATCAGAACTTAAGGATCATTCACTGTTGTGCCACAGGGTATGCTCTTGAATGACAAAATCAAAGATGTAAATTCGCTTCGACGTGCATTGAGGAAGGCAGAGGAGTATCTGAATACCTTACCATCTGATACTGCATGCTCAGTTTTCGAGAAAATGTTCAAGGAGATTGGTCTGGAGAAAGGATGGGGTGACAATGCTGAGCATGTTCTTGAGATGATCCATCTACTTCTGGATCTCCTGTAAGCGTCGGATCCTGTCACACTCGATACCTTCCTCGGAAGAATCCCATTGGTCACCAATGTAGTTATCTTGACTCTTCATGGATACTTTCCTCAAGACAATGTTTTGGGATACCCTGACACTGGTGGCTAGGTTGTTTACATCTTGGATCAAGTCCAGGCCTTGGAGGAAGACATGCTTCACCGTTTCAAACTTCAAGGACTCGACATTGCCCCACGTATCCTTATCGTATCCTAATGTTACATCGGTTTTGATTCTCCTTTTTATCCAAATTTGTATATAACCATGTTTGATGCTTTACTTTGGCTGTTCTTATACCAAATTACTCGTTTCCTTCCTAATGCCGTAGGAACAACTTACGGTCAGCGTCTCGAGAAAGTGTACAGAACAGAGTATTCTGATATTTTTTTAGTACCATTCAGAACCGAGAAGGGAATTGTACGTCAATGGATATCTAGATTTGAAGTATGGTCCTACCTGCAGACGTACACCGAGGATGTTGCAGCTGAGATTACCAAAGAGTTCAAGGGCAAACATGATCTGATTATTGGGAACTACAGTGATGAAAACATTGTTGCTTCTTTACTAGCACATAAGTTTGATGTCACACAGGTTTGTTAAAAACCAATTCATTAACCAATTTTCTTTTGATGTATTTTGATGTTTCATATGCATTTTATAAACTTGTTCTTCGATGTCGAATGCGGTGCACCATTGCTCATGCTTTCGAGAAGACGAAATACCCGGATTCGGACATCAACTGGAAACAGATCGAGGATAAGTTTCACTTCTCTTGTCAGTTCACTGCTGACCTTATTACAATGAACCAAACTGATTTTATAATCATCAGCATCTTCCAAGAGATTACAGGAAGGTACTATATATATCTTCCATTTTACTTCCTCTAATGTCAGTACCGATTTGAGATGCTAACAACGTCGACATCCTGTGAATTTCAGCAAGGACACACTTGGTCAATACGAGAGTCACATGGCGTTCACTCTTCCGGGGCTCTACCGTGTTGTCGACGGGATCTATCCGTTCAATCCCAAATTCAATATTGTCTCTCCTGGTGCTGATATGAACATATACTTCCCTTACACGGAAGAGAAACGAAGATTGAAGAAGTTTCACCAGGATATCGAAGAGCTTCTTTACAGCCCTATTGAGAATGCAGAGCACTTGTGAGTTTTTAACCTGTTTTACACCCTTTTTCACTAGATTACCTGCACGATGTTAACATTGTTGTTTGGAAGATGTGTTCTAAATGATCGAAACAAGCCGATTCTGTTTACCATGGCACGGTTAGACCGGGTGAAGAACTTAACCGGACTCGTTGAGTTTTATGTCAAGAACAGCCGGCTGAGGGAACTCGTTAACTTGGTTGTAGTAGGTGGAGAGAGGAAAAAGGAATCCAAGTACATAGAAGAGAAGGCTGAAATGAAGAAGATGTATGAACTTATCCAGAAATACAAGCTGAATAGACAATTCAGATGGATATCATCCCAGATGAACCGAGTGAGAAACGGTGAACTCTATTGTTACATTTGCGACACCAAGGGCGCATTCGTTCAGCCTTCTATATACGAGGCTTTCGGCTTGACTGTCGTTGAAGCAATGACCTGCAGCCTACCAACATTTGCAACATGCTATGGAGGCCCTGCTGAGATTATTGTCCACGGTAAATCAGGGTTCAACATCGATCCTTATAACGGCGATGCGGCCACCAAAACCCTTGTTAATTTCTTCGAGAAATGCAAGGCTGATCCGTCCAATTGGGAGAAGGTTTCCCAGGGAGGCTTGAAACGCATACAGGAGAAGTAAGAAATAAGGTTTTGCGTGATATTAAAGTTTTACGTATGAAACTATATACCATTTCTCATTTACTTTTGCCTTATAGGTATACATGGCAGATCTACTCTGAGAAGCTATTGACTCTCACTAGTGTTTATGGCTTCTCGAAACATGTTTCTTACCTAGAACAATGTGGCCACAGGCATTACATCGAGATGTTGCATGCATTCATGTACAAAAAGCAGGTAAATATTTCTGATTATTCATTTTTCTTCAAAAATTCATGTTTCAACACTGTTTAATGTGTTCCTTGTGCGGTGCTTTTCAGGTCAAAACTGTTCCTCTTGCTGTTGAGTAAACAAAACTGTTTCTCATAAATATTGTTTGTGAGTTTCCTCCTTTTCCCTTGGAATGTTTTGAACTTTTGGGTTTTGTCCCATTGATTGCAATAAAGTATGTTTCTGTTAGTTAGAGTCTCGCAATTCATCTTTGAATCCGAATTTCTATTATCATGAATTTACAAAAACGACATATTGTATATACATAGTCCCACGAATTTCTTTCAAGTTTTTCACATTGATGGAGGTGGTAGAAGCCAATTGCTGCCGTTAATATACGTTAAGCTCAGAAAAGGTCTAGCTTCAAACTCGCTCAAAATTCTCGCAAATCCAATTCGACCAGTTGAGCTAGCCCCCGACCCCATGCACTTGTATTCGCCATAGTACACGGTCCTGCAAAATCATTAAACCAAATCACATTTAGAAACAATTAGGTGAACTTAATTAGCTCAAATATATACATACTTGCTACGCTCGGGTGCTTATTAGTAGACCAGCCTTCGTTGTGTACGATGTTGCCCATGTAAATGAAAGCAAAGATGACTCTCGGCCTTTGCTTCCATGCACGACTGAGGTACGTTGTGGCGTTGCCCGAACCAGTAATGTTGTAGTAAAGGAATGTAAATCCACTGTTATCTTCAACCTTTTCTCTTGCTTGTGCTGTGATCACACCGGGGTACTTGGCGAAGAAAATGAATCATGGTGTTTTGTGTTGAAAAGTCAAGTGGCCAACTTGGCCAAACTTTCGGTGCAACAAGTTGGCAGCTGATTTTGTTGAAAAAATAGCATGAAAAAATTGCTCATTTAATCCTTGTACTTTAAGGTATTTATAATATTAGTCCTTAAGCTTTAACTATAAATACTTTAATCTATTTAGCTTCAAAATCATCCCAAATCATTCTAGCTTTCTCCCAATACTAGAAAATTTAGAGAGTTTTCTTGAGAGTTGTTTTCTCCTTTTCATCAAGAGAGAATTGTTATTGTTTTCTCCTTGTTAGATCGAGAGAAGTTGTAATTCCTATTTTCTCATAGTGAAATTATTTTACCGTTGCCCGTGGTTTTTACCCTATATTATTTAGGAGTTTTCCACGTAAAATTTGTATCTTCTTTATCTTCATTTTTATTTTCTCAAATTATCAGTTGAGATTTTTCTCTATCCGATAGTCGTATTCCGCAACAATTGACATCAGAGCCAGATTTGAGTATGTAATATCTACTTATTATCTTTGTGGTTGCCACCAAAAGGTGGATCCTCCAACATAAGAAAGTAAGAAGTTATTACTCATTCTTTGAAGGTTCCAAAAAACTATTCATGATAGTGAAATAGTGAGAGCTATTCGTAACAGAAGTTATGGCAACGAAATTTGATATTAAAAAGTTCAATGGGAGAAATTTCTCATTGTGAAAATTGAAGATGAATGTCATCCTGAGGAAAGACGGTTGTCTAGCAGCTATCAGTGAAAGGCCGATAGATTTCACATATGACAATACATGGATCGAAATGGACAAGAATGCATTGTCAAACTTTCATCTAGCATTAGCAGATGAAGTATTGTAAAGCATTGAGGAGAAGAAGGCAGCTAAAGAGGTATGTGATCATCTCACCAAACTATACGAGGCCACATCGTTGCACAATAAAATTTTCCTTAAAAGGAAATTATACACTCTCCAAAAGCCAAAATCTACTTCAGTGACGGAGCACTTAAACACACTGAACACTTTATTTTCTCAGCTTACATCCTTAAGATGTACAATAGAAGAACAAGAACGTGCTGAACTTCTACTTCAAAGTCTATCTGATTCATATGATCAACTCATCATCAACTTGACAAACAGTAATGTCACCAGTCTAGTCTTCGATGATGTTGCAGATGTTGTTTTATAAGAAGAAAATCGGTGCAAGAACAAGGAAGACAGGAAAGTAAATCTGCAACAAGTGGAAGCATTGACAACGATGAGAGGGAGATCAACATAACGTGGCCAAAGCAGCAGTCACAAATATGGTATATCAAAGTCGAGAAGCAAGAAGAATTTAAAGTGCTACAACTGTGGAAAGAAGGGTCACTTGAAGAAGGATTGTTGGAGTCTAGGTAAAAACTCCAATCCACAAGGCAATACCACAAACACTTCAGATGATTGAGATGCTTTATGTTGTGAAGTGTCAACCACCGTGGAAGGTAGAAAAAGATTTGCAGATATATGGCTCATTGATTCGGGAGCAACATATCACATGAATCAAAGAAGAGAATGGTTTCATCATTATGAACCTGTCTCAGGAGGATCTGTGTATAATTGCAATGATCATGTCTTAGAGATCTTTGGCGTTGGAACATCAAATTGAAGATGTATGATGGAACAATTAAAGTTGTTCGAGATGTGTGACATTTGAAAGGCCTGAAGAAAAATTTATTATCCTATGGATTGTTGGATAATAATGCAAGCAAGATTAAAATACAGAAAGGAATCATGAAGGTGTTCCATGGAGTGTTTGTGGTGATGAAAGGTGAAAAGATAGCAGCAAACTTGTACATGCTGAAGGGAGAGACTTTGTTAAAAGCAGAAGCCTCTGTTGCCTCATGTAGTTCAGATTCTGCAATGCTCTGGCATCAGAAACTTGGAAACATGTCAGAACAATGAATGAAAGTCCTTGTGGAGCAAAAGCTACTTCCAGGCTTAACAAAGGTATCACTTACTTTGTGTGAGCATTGTATAACAAGTAAGCAGCACTGGTTAAAATTCAACACGTCAAATTCTAGAGGCAAAAGTGTTCTAGAATTGGTTCATTCTGACATACGGCAAGCACCATTTACATCCCTAGGCAGAGCAAAACACTTTGTCTCATTTATTGATGACTACTCCAGGATATGTTGGGTGTACCATATTAAGAAGAAGTCAAACGTGTTTTCAACTTTCAAAAACTTCAAAGCCCGGGTGGAACTTGATTATGGAAATACGATCAAATGTTTCAGGTGAAGAATTTAATGACTTTTGCATGAAAGAATGAATAAAAAGATAGTTCATAGTGGCGAACACTCCTCAACAAAATGGAGTGGCAGAGCAGATGAACATAACCTTGTTAGAAAGAATAAGAGCAATGTTGAGGGCTACAGTCCTAGAAAATCATTTTGGGAAGAAGCAGTCAATACCACCTGTTATTTAATGAATCAAGCTCCATCAACTGTAATAGAGATGAAGACACCAATGGAGATAAGGATTGGTAAACCAGTTGATTATTCAAACCTCTATATATTTGGAAGTATTTTGTATGCGATGTACAACTCCCAAGAAATTTCAAAGTTGGATCCAAAATCTAGGAAATACAAATTATTGGGGTAAAATGATGGTGTAAAGGGATATCGCTTGTGGGATCCCACTGCCCGAAAAGTAATCGTCAGCAGGGATATTTTCTTTATAGAAGATAAATTACAAAGAAAAGAAGACGATGATAGCACTGAAAAGTCAGAGACTACACATATACATGTGGAAAAGGAGTTTGAACAAAGAGATTCTTCTGAAGCAGAACCAGCACATGATGAACAAGAACCAGAGAGTTTTGAAGCTCCAATAACTCGTCAATAAGATCGTGTGAAAAGACTTCCCAATTGGCACTCAGATTATGTTATAGAAGGAAATATTGCATACTAGCTTTTAACAGAGGACGGTGAGCCATCAACATTCTAGGAGGCAATAAACAGCTCAGATGCTTCACTATAGATGATGGCGATGCAAGAAGAAATTGAAGCCCTTCATAAAAATAATACATGGGACCTTGTGTCACTACCATAAGGAAGGAAGCCAATTGGTAACAAATGGGTCTTTAAAATCAAATGAAATGGTAATGATCAAGTGGAGAGGTATCGTGCAAGGCTGGTGGTCAAAGGATATGCTAAAAAACAAGGTATTGATTTCAATGAAATATTTTCTCCTGTGGTTCGACTAACAACAGTTCGAGTAGTCTTGGCAATGTGCGCTACATTGAATTTACATCTAGAGAAGCTAGATGTTAAAACAACTTTTCTTCAAGGAAATCTTGAAGAAGAGATTTATATGCTTCAGCCTGAAGGTTTTAAAGAAAAAGAAAAGAAGAACTTGGTTTGCAGGTTGAACAAATCTTTGTACGGTCTAAAGAAGACCCAAGATGTTGATATAAGAGATTTGATTCCTTCATTATGTACCTTGGATACAACAGACTTAATGTAGACCTTTGTGCTTATTTCAAGAGGTTTGGTGATAACGATTTTGTTATATTGTTGTTGTATGTGGATGACATATTGGTTGCAGGACCCAACAAAGATCATATTGAAGAATTGAAGGCACAACTGGATAGGGAATTTGAAATAAAGAACTTGGGATCAACAAACAAGATCCTAGGGATGCAAATTCACTGAGATAGAAGTAATAATAAGATTTGAATTTCACAAAAGAATTACTTGGAGAAGATCTTATCACGATTCAACATGCAAGATTGTAAGACAATTTCTACCCCTCTTCCTATTAACTTTAAATTATCCTCCAGTATGAGACCTAGCAGTGAATAAGATAGGATTGAGATGTCTCGAGTGTTGTATGCATCGGTAGTGGGAAGTTTAATGTTCGCTATGATATGCACAAGACCAGACATTGCACAAGTAATGGGAGTGGTTAGTCGATACATGGTGAATCCAGGCAAAGAGCATTGTAATACAGTAAAGAGGATCTTAAGATACATCAAAGGGACCTCAAATATTGCATTATGTTACGGATGATCAAATTTACTTATCAATGGGTATGTTGATTCTGGCTATGCAGGGGATTTGGATAAAAGCAAATCTACTACAGGATATGTGTTTAAAGTTGTTGGTGGAGCTGTAAGCTGGGTTTCAAAATTGCAGTCAGTTGTGGCTATATCCACAACAGAGGCAGAATATGTAGCAGCTACACAAGCCAGTAAAGAAGCAATCTGGTTGAAGATGCTATTGGAGGATCTTGGGCACAATCAAGAGTATGTCTCTCTGTTTTGTGACAATCAAAGTGCCTTGAATCTAGCAAGGAATCCAGTATTTCATTCAAGAACAAAACACATATGAGTTCAGTACCATTTTATTCATGAAAAGGTTGAAGAAGGGACGGTAGATATGCAGAAAATTCATACCAAAGACAACATAGCAGATTTTATGATGAAGGCGATCAATACGAACAAATTTACTTGGTGTCGATCCTCTTGTGGCCTATCAGAGACATAAGCAACATGAATGGTACAAGGTAGAAAGAATAGTGTGAAGATATAATTGTTCCAATTAAATCTTCAAGTGAGAGATTGTTGAAAAGTCAAGTGGCCAACTTTGCCAAACTTTGGTGAAATTTTCGGTGCAACAAGTTGGAAGCTGATTTTGTTGAAAAAAATGGCATGGTAAAATTACTCATTTAGTCCTTGTACTTTAGAATATTTACAAGATTAGTCCTTAAGCTTCAACTATAAATATCCTAACCCATTTAGCTTCAAAATCATCCCAAATCATTCTAGCTTTCTCCTAATACTAGAGAATTTAGAGAAATTTCTTGAGAGTTGTTTTCTCCTTTTTATCGAGAGAGAATTGTTATTGTTTTCTCCTTGTTAGATCGAGAGAAGTTGTAATTCCTATTTTCTCATAGTGAAATTCTTCTACCGTTGCCTATGGTTTTTACCCTATATTATTTAGGGGTTTTCAACGTAAAATTTGTGTCTTCTTTATCTTCATTTTTATTTTCTCAAATTATCAATTGTGATTTTTTTCTATCCGATAGCCGTATTCCGTAACATTCTGTAATAAAACAATGCATTGATCAGTACGTGAATTGGGTACGATATAGAGGATTACTGACCAGATAAAGAGATTTGCCATTTCCGAAGATGAAATCAATAGTGCCTTCAATATAGTAGTCTTTGAAGAAATACATGCCTCTATCGTCATACAATGTATCTTGGAACCCTATTGAACTTGCAGTTATAGAAGGCTCTTTGTTTCCCGATATTCTTATAGCCACCGCTTGCACCAACACTTTCTGGCCGTCCGACATCGGAGCTGAATTCTATTCACCAAGAAAACCTATGATATAACTTTCTCAAGTAAGGAAATTGAGTAATAAATGAAAAAAAAGAAAAACACTGCCATAAAAGCAATGTTAACAGCCACGAAGTAATCACTGTCCACTACCACCGTCGCACTATTTAACGTAACAAACTCCACCGCCGTCCCATTAAACTCTATCTTTGGCATATCAAGAGGGTCTCCAAAAAAGGTCACGAAATTCTTGGTCCTATTAATGGTGATCTTCTCAAAGTGTGAGAAAGGTGCCATGGTGGCTGGAGATTACCGATGGTGATGAATGTAAACGACATCAATGAAGATGGGAAGCTGTGAAAGAGGCGGCTTTTTTTTACTAAATGTGTAAATGAATTACAAAAATGTTTGATTTAATCCACTACATTGCTAGGCTTATATAGCCTACTAATAATATGCTAATCAACTAACTAAAATCCTAACAGAATAAAAAATACTAACTAATTGTATTAACATTCTAATATTCTAACATTCACCCGACTTCTTCAACATTCTAAATGAAAAGATGAACACTTTACTCGAAAGTGCAATGCTTTCTTCCGTTCGACTTGAATCGAAAGTGCAATGCTTCCTTTCGTTCTACTTGAATTGAAAGTGTGATGCCTCCTTCCGTTCGACTTGAATCAAAAGTGCGATGCCTCCTTCCATTTGACTTGAATCGAAAGTACGAAGCTTCCTTCCGTTCTACTTGAATCGAAAGTGCGATGCCTCCTTCTGTTTGACTTGAATCAAAAGTGTGATTCTTCCTTCCTTTCGACTTGAATCGAAAGTGCGACGCTTCCTTTCGTTCTTCTTATTAACCTTCATTTATTTCTTCTTTCATTTGAAATTTCTTCATGAATCAAAACTGTTCTTCTTCTCACTTATTCGGACTTTCTTTTTTTGGTGGAAGAAATATGGTTAAGCTACAAGCTCCCGGGTGCAATCTGAAGCTTCTCTTGGGCAAGAAAACAGTGTATTTTGTCTGGTTAAGGAAGGTAAGACTATTAAACTCTTAACCCTCCCCAGATATTTTTTGTCACGAACACTTGGATGTGAAGCATTCAAGTCTCATGTTACCTTGTGATAGAAGCAGCAGACCATGAAGAAACTAAAACAAAGAGTACTTGAGCAAACAAACAAGTAATGCAAACCAAGATACGAAAAACCTAAATCAACAACCAACAACAATCACTGAAACCAATAATTTAATAGTGACCAGTGTGAAAAAACTTGGATCAGCAACTCATGACTTTCAAAATGCCCAAATGGAGGATTAAAGCTCAAAATCAGCATCAAAATCTTAAGAAACCAACACTCATGTAATTTGACAAATCACAAGTCTCGCTCAACCAATTGATGTCAAACCTTCTCTACTCTCATGATCAACATTGACTTCCAGTAGCAAGCATGCACACTATCATCAATCAACAAGAATATTATACTATCGAAAATTGTTGCTTCCTTGGGGAAAAATTGTGCAAACAACCAAGAGAAATAGACGAGCCTCGTGGATAATTGAAAGCTTCATTTTAAGTGACTCAGAGTCCCAAGATGGACCAAGATAAAATATAACTTAGGGAGAAGCAAAGCATCTCTTTAGAGCAAACAATCAAGCATATGGTAGGTGTACAAACAAAGGCATGAACCCAATTATAAATCAATCTTATACTCTAAACGTAGAAAATGGATCATCAAAGAAGATTATCAATCACCAATCTTGTTTTCAAATTTCCAAACCAAGATGTTGATGAGAAATAGAAGTCTAAGATGCTACTAAAGTACAAAAAGATGAATAAAAAGAACCGCGTTCAATTCCAACAAAGCAGGAAATCATACCAGCATAAGAAATCACGCTTGACCTCACTCATGCACAAGATAACAATATTCACAAGCCAAATTGCATAATCTTGTGCAAAAACGATGGAAATTCATCAAACCAGTGCATAATCAATAAGAGAGAAAATGATACAACAAATCATGTGAAAAACTGACCGAATCTTTCACTGTGAGTTATTGGAGATCTACAAACTGACAGTGAAACATTGATAACACGCTAGAATCTGTGCTAGTGGAAAAATGATTAAGGTTTGCTAGATCTATTGTTGAATGGGAAACAAGTAATGACATGTAAAGGAATCAGACAAGCAAATGAACTTACGACTATTGAAGTCAATCGTCGACAAGGGAAGCGACATTAGAATCACCTGAATCATCAATCGTCGACACATATAAATGTCGTGAGGAAGAAAATAGCGGCAAACGCGGATGAAGGAGATAACCCACGTAGGTGGTGAAGATAACGATGTCAGGATTGTTGGCGAATGATACCATGTGAGAAAGGTGCAATGGTGGCTGGAGATTACCGGTGGTAATGAATGTAAACGGCAGCAATGAATATAGGAAGCTGTTAAAGAGGCGGCTTGTTTTACTAAATGCGTAAATGAATTATAAAAATGCTTGATTTAATCCACTACATTGTTAGGCTTATATAGCCTACTAATAATATGCTAACCAACTAACTAAAATCCTAACAAAATAACAAATACGAACTAATTGTATTAACATTCTAATATTCTAACACAAAGTAGTAGCCTCCGCCTATCCAGATCACAACCCTTTGCATATTCCATAACGGGATGCTATCGACGGCGGCTGTCACGTTGTCAAAGTCTCCGGTTTTGTTTTTGTTTACGATGATCAGTTTAAAACCCCTTTACTCGGCGTTAACTAAGACGTAATCCAGAACGGTACCGTTGAACAAGGCATGGGCAATGTCGTTGGATTGCAATTCTTGGAGTTCTTTCATGTTGGCAGCGATCCATGACTCAAGCGTGGGTGCAAATGGCGACTGTGCGGTGTAGTTGGGGTACAAAGTTACACCGGGAACAAGGAAAGTTGTTGAAACAGTAGTGAGGAAGAAGAGGAAGACGGTTTTTCATTTCTTGAGACATTTCAGGATTGATTATTTCGTCATAATCCATAGATGGTTTTGGTTTTTATAGGATTGTTATGCAAAAGAAATGGTTCAAAGGAAAAGTCGGTTATGTTATTTTCCAGGGTCCGGAAATTCTAATGTTTGTTGTTGAAGATGGTCGTCATGACTGGCACGGTTACTAGCCGAGTTCGGCAAATGGGGCAACTGAGTCGGATCGGTAAAGAGCGTTAAGAAGATGGGTTTGGGCCTATGGATTTGGAAATCAATATCTACAGGCCATGTTTAGGTGATTGGGATTGCTGGCCTTTCTTTCTTTTGCTTAGGAAACGACGGGTTTTGACTCTTTAAGTTTTTACTTTAAGTTGGACAAAGTACACCCTAGGTAGCTAAACTATCCTTAAATGGCCATCTTGGTCATTGAACTTTTAAAATTATATAATGATCATTACATTAATCAAATTATTATAAAATAATCATTAAATTTATCAAAAGTTTGTAATTAGTGCAAGGTCAATTTTTCTAATAATCATATTGAATTTTGATTAAATATAGAATCGAACTAATTTGAATTTTAAACAAAAATCAAACTAACACTACTATTATTTTTTAGATTCAAAATATTCAAAAAAAGTAAAAAAAAAAATTCTCGTTTAAACCAAAATTAAATAATTGAATTTTGAATATATATATATATATATATATATATTGTTATATATTCGAAGATGATTTCTAGAAACTTCTTCATTTATCATATTCTTCAACCAACCTCCAAACTCTAAGCACATGTTTCAGGCCAACTACGACGCATAGACAATATCTATGACAGACTCAAATGATGTATTAGAACAAAATTCAAAATCAAACTACCAAATTTACCTACTTTGCCAACGTACAATTAGCCATGATGATTCTATGGCGGAGGTCTTAATCTTGTGGTCGTGGGATCGAGCCCACTGAGGGCAATTCATAACGGATGTCTTACACGGAAGTTGCTCTCAACCTGGCGTTGGAAGCAGCCTACTACCCTACCTCCCCCTTACCCCATTACATATGGGAATAGGATCAGCTAATTTTATTCTATGACTAACACACTAAATGATGTTATAAAAATCCTCAATGAAAACCGAGAAAGATAATTGTTCTCATTTCCCAATCAACCCTCTTTATTCTTCCTCATGATAATCCATCCTACTCTTCATTCAAAAACTTATTAGTAATCATTCCCTCATCGACTACAATTCGTCATCCAAATCAAAAGAGATAAATTATTCACGACTTACGAAATAAAATATTCCCATTAATATATATATATTATTTTGTTTATGCCTTGTTTTTGTTTGGAAGAGAATGAATACAAGAACCCATAGTATATATATATATATATATATATATTTTGTTTATGCCTTGTTTTTGTTTGGAAGAGAATGAATACAAGAACCCATAGTTTTTTTGGGTGGGATTTTAGGATTGGGAACATATCGCATGTCATGTGGTTCACTAGGTTTTGAACTTTTGGATTTTAGTGCCTACAACCAATACCATAACGTTACAATACAATGTTTCTTGGTCCCCTTGTGTCATGCTTGAATATTTAATGCCTAAGACATTAGAAGCCAAGCATATTTATGCTATGACCGACTCCCTTAATTATATAGCATTTAACGAGTTATAGGTAGAGGGCAGAACTTTATAGGTAGAGGGCAGAACTTTATAGGTAGAGAGACTCATCATTAATGTAAGCCTAAAACAAGGTTAGGGGACGTTAAATAAAACCTGTCTGATAAACATATCTTTATCATACTAATCTTAAATTCCATCATTAAACAACCCTTCGCTCGTATTAAGAGATGTATGTTACAATGTAAACAAGGTTCAATGCGTAACAAATAATGTTTGGGAGTGACCCAAACCGGATGAAACAATGATATATATATACATATATAATCTATTGAGGAGAAGAAAGTTCACATAACTCTCTCGTCTCTTGCATGTGCGTTTATGGGCGTGGGGGACGTGAGAGACAGGAAAATATACGTCAAAAGAGAAAGCAATAATTAAGGACAAAAATTCCTCGTGTAACATGGGCCTATCATTACTTCATATCCGATTTCCACGACCATCTCTCACGTGGGATCAGCCCCTTTTTTCTTTACTCATTATATACTTTCACCTTTCAAAAAATGGAATTATATATATATATATATATATATATATATATATATATATATATATATGGGGTATGATCTAATTATTCAATGTAAAACTCTTTTAGTTTTACACAAATTTAAGACTATTGGATGAGTGGAAATAGATGACTGAGATTAAAAGTAAGAAATGTGAAGATTATCACATGGAAAAAAAATAAAGAGTTAATCTCAGCCTTTGATTTCTCTCATCTAACGATCTTAAATCTGTATAAAATTAAAACATTTTACATTGTGTAAGTTGATCATAATCATATATATATATATATATATTTGGTATAATCACCTATATCTGATTGTATAGGTAAGAGCGACCCTCACAACTTATATTGTTACATTCGCAAACATCAGTATTTGAATATATATATATATATAATTGGTATAATCACATGTATTTGATTGTATAGGTAAATGAGACCTTCACAATCCGTTTTGTTCCATTCGCAAAAAACAGAAGTTGAATTCCTGATTTTATTTAAGGGATCTAGTGTCTCATTTCATTAGACTAATTGATTGTTGGTAAATTATATACAGTTAAAACTCTATAAATTAATAATGTCAGGACCGGAGAAATTTATTAATTTAGAGAGTTATTAATTTATCGATAAATTAATAATTATTAATTTAAAGAGTTTTTAAGTAATTATACTGTACATACCAAACAAAAAGGCAAATTAGTCTATACCTCTTAGAATTACGTTGTAAGAGATGAGTTAAATTAATAATGAGCTCCAAATAGACTTAAACTTTAAAGGAAAACAGACAACTATTGAATCATATTTCAATAGAGTGTAATAAATTTTTTTCAGTTTCTATGAATTATTAATTTATGATTTTCTTGGGACCGAAAATTATAAAGGGTTCTCACGAAAAATTATTATCTTATTATTTTATCGAGTTTTTCAATTTTTTACATTGGCCCAAGTCGGAGCCAGACAAATTTATTATTTTAGAGAGTTTATTAATTTACCGAGTATTAATTTAAAGAGTTTCTACTGTATTCTCTTTACCGGGTTAATGAGAGATGCTATAAGTAGGACCAATTTGAAATTTTAATTAATTTAAATTTGAATTCATTATTATATTTTTTTTATTTGTTATCTTATTCCATCTAAATTTAATTTAAACACCATGCGAAATATAACGAGAAGCATGTTCTAGTAATTCTAAAGTGGATCGAAGTATAGAGATTTAATTGCAACATATATTCTCAAATTATGCCTCTTGTTCTAAATTGGTCTCTAAACTTTTGAACATCCCAATTTCATCTTTAAATTTTAGTTTTTATTTTAAAGTGATCCCTAAACTTCTAAACATTCCAAATTCATCCCCAAACTACGACTCTCATTCTAAATTAATCTCCAAACTTTAGAACATTACAATAACATCCCATCAAAATAATTCAAAAGCTTGAGGGTAAAATTGGAACATTCAAAAGTTCAGTGATTAGTGTAGAATGTGTGTTATAAGTTTGGGGATGAAATTGAAATACTCAAAAGTTTAGGAACCAATTTTGAATGAAAAACATAGTTTAAGGATGTGTGGTAGAATGAAATCAAAACTAAATAAGGCATGAAGTTACGTGTAATCAAGGATCAAAGTGTGAAAAGTGGAATTAGCCTCCTCTGAGGAAGTGGTGGCGGCCATGGCAAACGCGTAACAGATCGCTAAAAAAAAGGCGTTATTTCGTGTTTTCGAAAATTTTCAACCAACCCTCCGCCAAGAAAATCGTAAGCATAAAATGGTTCAAGGAGATGGCATCTCTTAACCACCCGATCATGACCAGTTTGAACGCCATGCAATTTCATAGTTGCAATTATAGGGTAACCAACTCTCATAATTTTTAATTAAAAACCTCTTATTGTCGTCTTCCTGGCTCCGGCTTCTTGTCTCGCAATATGGTATGGACACCATTTTTCTGCAACCACATTTCACTGCTGCTGCCCTTTTCGTGTTATTTTGGGTAAATTACGTGTTTAGTACCAAATTATCAGTTTTGATCCGTTTTAGTACCTAAACTTTCAATTTTTCAAAAACATACCTAACGTTTAGTTTTTATTTCGTATTAGTATCTCGTCGTTAAAAATTAACATGTGCTTTTTTATGGGTAAATTGCATCATTCATCACTCAACTATCTTCTCACTCCTATTTTCGTCCAAAAAGTTTAAATTTTTTAATTTAATTACTTAACTCTCAAATTACTCCTAATTTAATCACTTCAACTTTCAAATTTATTTCTTATTTTTAATTATATATTAATAAAATGATAAAAAATTTGTCATATCACAAAAATTATTAATGAAATAAATTATAGTATTTAAAATAGGAGCAATTTGAAAGTTGAGTAGTTAACTTGACCTTTTTTTAAAAAAACTTTAGTATCAAAATAGAAGTGAGAAGATAGTTGAAGGATGGATGATGTAATTTACCCATAAAAATCCAGACCTGATAAGTTTTTAACTGAGAGATAATAAAATGAAACAAATGTTAGGTATTGTTTTAAAAAAATTAGAAGTTTAAGTACTAAGACGTACCAAAATTGATAGTTTTGGTACCAAACGTGTAATTTACCCAGTTGTTTTTCTCTTTTGTTTTGTAATATTGGAACCATTCACATTTTAGGGCTTTTGATTTTGCTTATTTGGTGAATTTCAAAGCAAGGCTGGGGAATGCCGGCAGGTTAATTCAGTAATAATCTAGTAAGTTAAATAAAATAGGTTAAATTATAGAGATGGTCCTCATATTTTTTGTTTGTGGCAAATCTAGGCATCCTGCTTTAATTTTAATTGTTTATAGCTCCTGCACTTGTTTAATTGTGTATTTTCAGTGAGAAAGCCGATCCTTTCATTTAATTATGTTAAAGAGTTTAACTTGTTTTTTTTTTCTCTCGAAAAAAGTGATAATGTAGTATATACGTGGTTTTTCTTTGTTTAGTTGAACAAATATTATTATTACATATAACAAGTAAATTATCGTAAAGTAGTAAAAAAATAAAAATATTTAAATTTATGTGAAATTTTTAAAATTGGAAAATTGAAGGTTAGAAAAAATAAATTTTATTTCTTCCATAGGTTATATTATTAACTTTTAAACTGGATCAACGAAATTCAAGTCACGATCTTTAATAATTATATATCTTGTAATTCTTTTTGAGCTGAACCGATGAAATTCGAGTCACAAACTAGAAATTGACAAATAAAATGAGACAAAAAGCAAACAAGGGGTTATTGTGTAATAAAACATAAGAATAACCTCAAAATAATGTGATACGTTTATTGAATTATAGTAGCATAAATGAAACATTAATCTCTTATGTTATTATATAAGAAAAAATGGAAATGAACAACGATGATGCGCTGATATAATCTCCGACCAGGCTTACAGTTTAGCCGGCGTGAACTCGGTTAAATCCTCACCGTCGAAATCAACCTTTCTTTCTGATCTTAATCTCTATAATCATTAATCCCTGGTTTCTTAATCTACATCGCCTAATCACATCCACATGCATTTTTATCGTTACATAATGTACAAATTTTGTGTACCATGAGAACTATCCCACGGGAACCGTCCTTCGATCGCCAAAGTAATCTTTCAACAAGCGTAAAACTCGACGAGCTCCGCCAGAGACTCCGACTGAGGATCACCATTTTCGAGCATCCAAAGCAAGTGATCGAACAAGACGACCTCGCACGACACGTTGATGACGGCTTCGTCGTTCTCGCCCGACACTTCCGCGAGTTCGCGGAACAGAGGGTTCTTGAGGACGTCGGAGCTGATGAGGTATCGCTTCTTTGACTTTCCGACGTAGACTGGCTGGAGGTTGACGTCCGAAGACGATTCGTAAACATCGGACGCAGCCACTACGGAGGAAGACGCCGGACGGCTTTGCTTTTGGTTGAATGAGTTTAGCTTCTTGAGAATTGACTTCAGCTTTATCAGCTTGTTGATGCCTTTTTCCATTTGGGAGGTGTAAGGATTTTTGTGAGGAAGAAGGTGCTTTTGTAAGCGCTGTGAAAGGGGAAGAAGGTTCGTTTATAAAGGAAGTTGGAAGGGATAAAATTGTAAATTTCATTAGAGATGTGATTCTACCATTAGGATAAGATGTGAATATGGTGACGGGTCTAATTTATAATTTTCGTAATATTGAATCTAAATATTAAAATCTCTTTTTAAATTTTGAAGTTCGGTATTAAACTATAATAACACTATGTAAATTTAAGATGTTTTATTCTTTATTCTTTTAATTTTATTACATTTAATTAACTTTAGAATGGTTTTAATACCTTTTATATTTTTTACAATTTTTAATAATTTATTTTTCAAAAATATTTTTATTATTTTTATTTTTACATGAAAGGGCAAAATAATAATATCTATATTGACAAAAAAGATAAACCAATTATCATCAATTTAACGAGTCTATCACTTTTTTTTTTCACTTGATTCAATTTGACTAAAAAAGTTTAAGAGTTAAATTTGACGGAAAAGGTTGAGGACTAAAATAACTTTTTAAAAGGATCGAGGGTGAAAATATCATTAAACCAACGGATAATGGGCCCTGACCTTTTGTCTTGGGTATTAATAAAGACAAACCCATTGTTTCTGAAGTTTTTTACGTAATCCTCCGCCGTTTTATGAATGATTTATCCAGAGAATATTTTAATAGTTTATGATGCAGAATATATTTCAGGATGAAGTTGGCAACTAAATTAAATTCACAGAATTTTTTGGCTTATCTATCTTATTTAGAATAATTTTGATTAAGTTTGTGTCATTGATTAATCACTTATAAATTTAATCAGAAAATGATCAAAATATATAATTTAGGTTAAGTTAGTATCAAAGAATTTACTTACATTAGTGTAAATTTAAGTGTACTTTTTTATATTTTTATAATTTTTTTATTATTAATATTTTAATGATCTAATGGTCGAATTTCATGTTCTCTTCATGTAGGTTATGCATGAGTAACTTAACTTACTGCTTTTTGTAAAAATAAAAATTAAAAAAATATTAAATATATATTAATAAATATATTATTTTAAATCAGCATGATTAAGATATTAACTTGACTCAAATATTTATATGCATAATAATAAATTTAATAATTAAATTATTAAAATATCAATGGTAAAAATTTTAACAATGCGTGAAAGACTCAGTTTTACACTAATATGTTATATATTGAAAATCAAGCATATTATATCGTATTTAAAATTATTAAACTTAAATACAATAATGATATATAATCACCCACAACCAATTGATCTAGTACGATGAGGCACTGTCGACACCATTTTCCTCCCGAGCGGGGGAAAACTTAGTACGACTTGGGGTTTTCTTTTGAAAAGATTTTGAAATGTTTTGGAGTCGTCATCGACCTTTTGAGTTAGGTAGGTCGAATACCTAAAAATTTTCTTTTGAAAGAGTTTTTAAGAAAAACTTCATTTTAAAAGATAAACCAGTCTGCGTGTAACCAGAGATTCATTCTTTTTGAAATAAAAAAGGGGTTCGGGGATCGATTACATGTGGGGAAGGATAAGCATCCCACAACACCCAAAATTAGTACCCCATCGATTATAAATTGTCTTTAATAGTGAAAATCTAAGAATTCAAATATAAATTTAAGTTACGATCCTATTATTCCAGATTCAGCCATACAATATTTATTTAATGAAAAATTCTAAGGAGAAATGAAAAATATTCTAATATTTCCAATCGAAGATAAAATAATCCCTAAAATATTTTAGGACGAATATTTCTCTTTCCAAATGAAATAAAAAGAATATTATAACTTCTCCCAAGAATTCGAGATTAAACAATTTGATTTGACCAAAATAAGAAATTAAGGCAATTAACCCAAATTGTATTAATCATGCTAGATAATGATAGTTTAAACTAAAATGGTAAAAGTATAAACACAATAAAAATCAAAGGGCCAAAAATAATTATCACACAAATATAAGTGCTTTAAATAAATAAAATCATATCATATCATAACAAAAGAACCAAAATGCAAGATAGCAAAATAAAGCATTCAATGTGATAAAAATATGAAACATGCATATACACTCATGCATACATATTAGGGACATGAGTGATAATTTACAAACATGATGAATTATAATACAAATAAAATACAATCATAAATATTAAATAAGGACCAAATAGTAAGAACATCAAATTTTAGAGGTCTAATAATAAACATATAACAAGTCATGGCTAATATACAAATATCACATAACATGAGTATTAAAACAGACTAAAATTAAATTACAAATCCTATTGTGCAATAATTACAAGAGTGAAATTAAATTGATGAATAATACGAGACCAAAATATAATAAAACAAAAAATAGTAGCCAAATCAGAATAAAAAAGTGACTACAATGAGTAAATTGAAAATATCACATCCAAATCATAAAAACATAAGAAACAAAATCCAAACAGCGACTAAAATGAATAAATATAAAAAACAGTGACTAAATTCGAAAATTAATAAAATTAATATACATATTCGAAATAAATAACAAAGTCAATGACCAGAGTGCAAAAGAAGCTAAAATATGAGGAGCCTAAGGATGATTTTACCCTGATAATGACCAAAGAGTAAATACGTTGAAAATAGGAGGACCTGGTGAATGATTTGACCCTGAAACAGATGAACAAAACAGAAAACCCCTAGAAACTAGGGACTTGATACATGATTAACCTATTTTCCATATAAACCAAATACTCTCCCTTGTTTTACGTAAACGCTTATCAAAGCTTCAAATGCACTCGGCCACTACACTCCGGCTCTCACACGCCGGCCACCGACCACCCTAAACCACCGGTGACCTCAACCATGAACGGAGGAGGATCGACCAACTCCTTTGAACGGCCAAAAATCTCCCCATTCTTCCTATCTCACTCTCTCGTTCTTCCTTTCTCCTCCCCATTCGGTGGCCGAGAAGGCTAAAAAACGAGCCCAACGCCGGCCACCACCCTTGTCTACTCAACGTCGAATACTCGAACTCCGAAACAAAGATCACGATGAAGGGAAAAAAGCTAAAAATAATAAAGAAGAAAGAAAGCAAAAATGGAGAGCAAGCACAAAGTCAAAGAAGATATATTTTCATTCCTTATTTTCGGGGAAGGGGGTCTCTGATTTTACAAGGTTCGTTGGGGTATTAATAACCCAAATCACTATAATATTATAATATTTTTTTGTACATAATAAAATAAAAATAAAAAATAGTGTTTACAGGCATTAGATTCCTTAAGCAAGATCAGGGGTATAAATCACGACGTTTACGAATGGAGCAAACTAGATTGAGAGAGTAAAACTCGCCTCTGCAGTATTCGATCTAAATTATTCGATCAATAGATAAGATATCATTGATTAATTTAAAAAAAAATGATATATAATCAAAATTATGTTGTTGGTACATTAATCATTTCCACCTAATTAATTTAAGGATAAAATTTTAAAACTTTGATAAATGAATAAAATTATGGAGAAAACAATAAGATGCATGCATGAGATATTAATGATATGACGTGTTGATGAGAAATTTATTAAATTAATGAAACATCACATTATTTAAATTAAATTGACAACACTCGTCAGTCATGGCGGATAAGATTGCTTCTGGGTGCTTATGAAATATGTTTGTAGATTAATGATATGACGTGTTGATGAGAAATTTATTAAATAAAATTAATGAATTGGTCACTCGTGATGACAATAATATTAACAAATTATATTCATGCAAGTAGATTAATTGATCATCACAGCAACATTATGATGACATATAGCATGTGATTAGCATTATCGAGGGTTTATTAATAATATTAATCAGCTTTAACCATTGTCTTATTAGATCTGTTTTTATTTAAAACCTTTAAAACGTGGACTTCTTTGAAGTTTTTTAAAAGCACGTCAGTTTAATTTAGTCCCTATACTATAAAATGTATCAGTTCAGTCATTATGGCTTCAGCCTTTTAAGGCCTTCAAGGACTTGCTGCCTTCAGAAAACGTGAATGGCCCGTTAGCAAATAGCATTTTTTTAATATATATATATATATATATATATATATATATATATATATATATATATATATATATTAGTATTCAATTAATTAATTAATTAATTCAAATAGAACATTGTAAATATATATTATAGAAACGATTCTTTCAACTAGATTATTTTATCCAATTGACAATGTCAGAATTTGAATTACTAACTTTACTTGAAAAGACTTCACATCTTATCTTCTCGGAAAAGATAGGAATTCAACGAAATATTATTTTTTTTTAAACAAAATAACAAAAATATTATAAACCATAGAAGAATAAAAAGAACTCAGAGAATATTAGTAAGGAAAAACTTCAAATCGAAAAAATTAGAGATTTTAGTAAATTACAAACTATACATCTCATTCAAATGAGAGGCTTTTCTTGTCCGAATAGATACTATAATAACAACAAAGATTATTCTCAAGAACACAGACAAAAATCCTCCAGTGAAACCTGCATGTTGTTTCAATGCCTTCAGATTCTTTTTACTCCTCATTTGCCAGAGGAACCGATTCAGCCTGAAACAAATTACAAACACATTAACAATGTACCCTAGTACTCTTCAATTTTCACTTGCGAGATTAATGGATGAAAGGAAACGGGGTCGAACAGTACCAGCTTGCGGTACTTCAAAGCATAAAACATCTCGAGGTAACGACGGCTCTCGCTGCGCTCGAGATTCAAAACATGCTTCCAGAAGCCGTACACCCCGGTCAGTGTCAATAGCCTCTCCGAGTAAATCTTCCATGTGTATCTGGTTCCAACAACGCAGACAAGTAAGCATCATTTACTACAAAATGATAAATTCAAGCAAGATAGAGTATTTGATTTTTCGAATTATTTCCTGTTTGTATTCGAGTTAATCAAGTCGTTGTGAACTTCTCCTAGATACGTTTCA